AAAGATGGACAGGCCTCGTGCTGTTAGGGTGATCCAGTTTCTGTAAATGGGATTAAGGCTGCAGTCCTACCCACATCTAGGCACAAAGCCAGTGCTTCTGGTTTAGGTGTTGTGGTTTGACTCGTGCAAGCTTTCTATGGTGTTGTAACAGAGCTGCCCCTGACGTTATGTTACATTTACTCATAGCTAGCAGCCTTCTTGTATGAATATGTTCTTCGGTTATCTGCCGACCGTCACGTTCCTCAGAAACTGTTCGCACCAAATAACTACAGAATGTCATAAAATAAGACATGGTGTGACTTAGAGAGTAGCTGACTCCTTCCTTCCTATCTACCCTCAAGGGAACATATCTGCAAACTGCTCCTGAATACTGAAACAAGAAGAACGAGAGAGCTACTTATATCGACAGATCGAGAGGACCACGGATGGTGAACACCCAACGTATAGTATTAAACATTTCTATTTTATCTCCCTTGCGTGAACGTATAAATCTAACCATCTCTCCGTGCATCTTGGTTATTTCAATTCCTTTGGCTTTCTCTTTGTTTCAGTAAGGAGCTGTAACTAGAGCAAATGCCTAGCAGAAGAGAGAAAGTAACTTCTAATTATAGACTGCTAGTGTGGAAGGATTCAAAGGCACTGCTGATAACACAGTTGGAACATTTCAGAGCGGGACCTATGACCTTACCTTGATAGTCAAGGAGAATGGAAATGAGCAAGTGCGGGCACACCTCCTCCAGCACACAGCAGAAAGCGGACAAGGCGCCGGGGCCTTTGCAAGCGAGTTTCTCTAAAAAATAAGCAGCCTTTTTCTCGCAGCACTCCCAGGACAAAATGTCTTTGTACTCCTCCAAGGAAAAGACTCTTTCATAAACTAGATATGACAGCACTTTCTGTACATCCAGTTCTCCCACGATTCTCTCCCGGTGGTTGCTTAGGATATCAGCCAGCCAGTGGTGGGTCCTCTCCTTGCTTTCCTTTTTCGTTGGCTTTGCACAGTTATAAAACCAAGACCGGGCCGACCATCCAAACATGTTTGCATTGGGCTAAAAATAAAATTAAAAAGATATTCCGACTGTGCATCAGCTGTGCAGTCTTCAGCCAGCAACGGATGCATGATGCAGACAGGGGAAACGCAAGTACATCTTGCCTGCCTATGGTTATCGCAATTCGTCTGGAAAAGACAAGGCCCGTGTCCAAATTACAGAAGAAAGGAAAAAAGAAACCCACGCACAGTGCTTGGAGCCCCCTAAGAGGATTACTTTACACTAATTAGCCCTTTACAAGCGTTAATAAGTATCTCTACAACCATAATGAGAGAGAGGAGAGACTAGGTAGGCTGTTAGTTTTTAATTCTGTAAACAGCTTTCAAAAACAGAGACTCTCTTTGGTAAGAACCAACTTATGAGAAATATGGGATATCGGATTAATTAGGCATGCTGAATACATGCTTAAACAAGCAATAAGGGCATTTTTTTTCCAGTGGATACCTAGCTTGATATTCTCATGAGACTACAGTATCACACTGCGAGTTAGCCATTGTCCCTATAAATATTATTTCACAGGTGTTATATGCAGTGTGTTTATGAACAGAAAGGCCTAAGAATCTATCATGCACGGTCATTGTTCAGGGCTGAATGAGGAATATTTTTCTGAAACTGGTGTTGGTAGCTTTTAACATAGAGTGCATTTTTAAATTTTTGCTGAATTATTCGATCAGTTTTAAAAACACACGCACAGACACCCGCACTCATAAATAGTGTCTACTTACTAAATTAGGATTACGAGAAGATATTCTTACAGTTCCAGTGGTGTACTGCCAGTAGTAATTACTCACCCAGGATCATGCTTACATAATACCTTACTCTAACGTCTAAAATGCCTGCTCTCTACAGCAAGGATTTTTTAAAATGTTCTTCTGTTTGGTGTCTATGTGTTTTGTTTTGTTTTTTAGAGCATCTGATTGTGTGTTGCTACATGTATATTTCTGCTGTCTCTCACTGCATTCACTACTTTCCATGAATGATGCACAGGGTTAGAGTTAGTGTTTTTCCTGATTCTGCTGGATACCTTTGCCCTAACAGCTGAGGAATGCCATGAGACTCTGCACTTTGACTTTAAGCTTAAGGTTCCTGCTGCATTGCCTGCAGGGAGATTTGGGGTCCTCCATGGGGGAAGGTGGGGTGGGCACAGCATGCAGGCAGACGGAAGGGTTAATCCCCCCCCCCTAGAAATCTGTTTGGCAATTAAGCTTAGAAAATATCTCCCAATAGCCTCAGGGAAAGTATCCTTCCCCGTGGAAATTCTCTGCAAGAGGGATCTGTGGGGTGTGGGGCTGCTGCACCATGTGAGGGTAACAAACCTTTTTCCATATGCAGTTGGAAATTACCATAGGCAAGGCAATTCTTATGAAAAAATCCCATCCATTGGCATGAATGGACACACAGGGAATAGACGGGAGCCCTGCAAAATCAATTCAGGACTGAGAGTTGCATGGTTAAGACGTAGGGCAGAAGGAAGTGGGTCCCAGTGGAAGCAAGGACCAGTTCTGCTCCTCTTGCACTGGCATCCCTCTCTAAAGGCTCCCAGTCCTGAATCACGGCTGTTTTTTAAAATCTCCTCTTGACAATAATAGATGGACAAATGCGATGAGAGACGAAATTGTCATGCAGCCCTTCCCCTTGGCCATGTGCACACGCGTTCAGTGCTTGAGGGGGTCGTGAGCCTGCAAGGACATGCCAGCCAGAACGCTTCATGCACGCGGCACATTCCAAGTATAAATAGGAGCCCTGTATGGGGATCTTGGCCAAGCAGGGTTTCCTTCTCGAGCGGGAGATGTATAATTTATTTATTTATATTTATTTATATTGTGATTTATATCCTGCCTTTTTCCTACCAAGGACTCAAGGCAGCTTACATCATCTCTCCTCCTCCATTTGATCCCCACAGCAACAACCCTGTGAGGTAGGTTGGGCCGAGAGTCTGTGACTGGCCCAAAGTCACCCAGTTGGCTCCATGGCTGAGCGGGGACTCGAACCCAGATCCTCTGAGTCCCAGTCCCACGCTCTTCACCACGACGCCACCCTGGCTCTCCATAATGAAGGGGCCTCTTCCACACTAACTCAACATGTGGCAGGTGGGCAACATGAGCAGTGTACAGGGCAGCTGGGCGTATGACCGGGGCGGGAAAGACCAAGTTCTGGTTCCTGGGATGGCCAAAGCTCATTTGTTGCCTGGTGCCAACACCGTTCTCCAAACCTCGGTCAATGTGGGGATCCTCCACCAATCCAAAAGGCTGAAATGCCTTACCCAAAGCTTAGGGACTGACAAAAAGAACTACACACTAAAATGCACTAGCATTTTTAGGTATTTTAGCCGTACTACTTTTTGCTGTTCAGCAGCTTATGTGAACTCGCAAGGACAATGGAGCTGTTCCGAGTAGCTCCACCTTCTGATGACCACACGCAGCATGTACCTTTTCCCGCTGGAATCTGCGCATCAACTCCACATGCGGGCTGGGAGAAGAGGCTTTTGCATGTGCAGCTGCACACATGAAGCCGGCATTGGTATAATTGTGATGCGTTCGTTGCAGGGCTTTTTTGTGTGGAAATATGCATGGACTTTGGCCCGGAATCTTTTCCTAATGACAGAGTAAGGCTAACACTCCACTGTTTTTGTTTGTTTTTTAAACAAAAAACACACAATACCCTAAGGTGAGCTGAAGGTCCAGTTTCTCCAGGAAAGGGCTGGGAGCGGTGCTGCACGACGAAGGGAAAGCCCATGTGCAAAACCAAAAGTTGCTTGCTGACTTGGTAATCTCTCCAAGCTCACTCCTCAGCCCTGAGCACAACAGTATTGATAATTAATAGCACTAGGGCATGGTCTCGCTATTACAAAAATGGGAAGTCTGGCCCACGGTGTCTGTGAGCACGCCTGGAAGGAAAGGTTCAGCGCTGAGTGGCCGTCACGGATGCTCCGAAAGGCGACCCGCCCGTGCAAGGGCCCGACCGTCCTGCAAGGCATCCAGACGCGCTTCCCTCAGCTGCCGAGTCGGCACCACCCTGCTATTCAAGGGCGGCAAAGAACCCTTTCAAAGGAATTCTCCACGGGAGGGGGAAAGAAAAGCTGGCTTGAGGCTAGAGGTATGGTGTCAAAGGCTCCCCGGGTGGTCACAGCAATGGCGCCTACTCCTGCTCTTCCATCTCCTACTCCTCTTCCAACTCCTCCGCCTCCCTACTCCTCTTCCATCTCCTACTCTTCCATCTCCTACTCCTCTTCCAACTCCTCCGCCTCCCTACTCCTCTTCCATCTCCTACTCCTCCCTACTGCTCCTCTTCCATCTCCTCCGCCTCCCTACTCCTCTTCCATCTCCTACTCCTCCCTACTGCTCCTCTTCCAACTCCTCCGCCTCCCTACTCCTGCTCTTCCATCTCCTCCTCCAGCGCCGCGCGGGAGCGAGGGCCCTGCGGGGGGCCGGCCGGGCCGCCGCGCCTGAGGGGGCGCCCGCGAGGCCGCTCGGCTCCGGCTCGCTCCGGCTCGGCTCCCGGCCGCCGGGGCTC